GCGTACAGCAGCTCCGCCTCCGCCCGCAGCTCGTGCGGCACCCGCTGTCGGTCGCCACTCAGCAGCGTCCAGCCCTCCATGTCCACGAGCTGCGGGCACAGGGGTGGCTCAGCCCGGCCGCGGGATGCGGGGCCGGGCCCTCCCCGGGCAGGAGCTCACCTCGCGGCGGCCGTGGGCAGCACTCCGGCACTGCTCCGTGGCCCCGAAGCAGAAGCAGCGGGTGCAGCCACGGGGGTTGGCGGCATCCAGGGAGAAGGTCCCGAGGCGGCACTGGTCACACCGGGGCCCCTGCACGTTTTCCTGAGGCGGCAGGGCGGCGGGGGGTGAGGGGGGTCAGCTCCGGCCAGCTGCCTGGAGCTCGGGAGCAGGCATGGGAGCCCAGCGGGGTGATCTCACCTTGCAGCGGCACCGGCCAGTCAGGGGGTCGCACACGCTGGGCAGGGTGCCCGCCCTGTGGCAGTCGCAGGGCCGGCAGGCGGGGAAGCCGTGGAAGCCAGGGGCGCAGGTGTCGCAGCGGCGGCCAGCCACGTGGGGCCTGCACCTGCGGCCGCCGGGTTAGGGGCTGCACTGCCCCCACACGGCACCCCGGGAAGGCCCGCCGCCCCCACACCCCGCCCCGCAGCTCACTTGCACTGGCCGCTGTCCACGTTGCAGGTGGGGTCCGTGAGCTCCTGCACGCCGGGCCCGGAGCAGTTGCACTCCTCGCAGCCCGCCAGGGGGTGACAGCCGAAGGCCAGGGGCCGGCAGACCAGGCAGTCGGGGGGCAGGGTGCGCGGCGGGCAGAGGCACAGGCCGGAGCGCTCGTCACACAGCCGGCCGCCGCAGTCACAGGCTGTGGGCAGCGAGCACGGGGCTGGGCCCTGCCCGGAGGCGGCGCGAGGCGCCCCCGCGCCCCGGCCCCACCCCAAGACTCACGCCTGCAGCGGGGGAAGCCCCAGTAGCCGGTGGCGCAGCGCGAGCAGTCTCGGCCGATGACGTGGGCGCGGCAGGGGCACTGGCCCCCGAAGGGCTCGCACGTGGGCCCCGTGGCGCCGGCCTCGTGGCAGCCGCAGGGCCGGGCCCCGTTGTTGTAGAACAAGGAGAGCGAGGCTGCCGCCTCGCGGCAAAAGGCAGACGCGCTGCTGGGGCTGGGGGCGGAGGGCGGTGAGGGCGGTGAGGGCGGTGAGGGCGG